CAGCCAGACGGCAGTCGGGGCGGGTCTGCGGCGGCCACTGCCTGGCGTCCCGCTGGGCGGCCCGAGCCGGGCCAGTCGGCCACGCCGCACCCCTCGGACCCTCTGCGTCCCAAACTCTTACCAGAGCCAGAGCCAGGAACATGTTCCCCAACTTCAGCTGGAACTTAGGTCCTCTCAGGTGACTCTCTCGAGGAAGAGTTCTCAGAGCGCAAAACCTTGGTGCAGCCATTTTCCCCCCAGGTGCAATGTCCACGGTGCAGTCTACGAGCCACAGGGCGTGAGCCGGGGGCGCGGCCCAGACCTCGCAGTGGGCAAGATCCACGCGACCCAGAGCCCAGCCGCCTTTGCGCGGGCCTCAGAACCACGGTGGCAGAGCGGGAGTTTAAACATGTGCTGGGGACACTGGCGAGGGGACATGACTTGCCCACGTTCACACAGACAACTGCCAGGGGTCGAGGACTAGAAGCGGGTCTCCTGCCCTCGGCCTCTCAGGCTGGCTGCTGGGCTTTAGGCCACCCGAGCCGAGTGGTGGGCGACAGGACACCAGAGACCCGCGTGCAGGGAGCCCCGCGGGATCCAATATTTCCTCCCCGTTCGTCCCCCCAGTAAAAAAGTGAAGTGGTGGAAAGGTGCGAACGGGTGACAGGCGTGTTTGGGGTGATTCATCATGAACAGGCACAAATCCTTGGGCGGGGGCTGGGGCTCTTCTCTCCCCCTTGACAAGATGGTGACCCCAGCCTAGAAGAATCCTCGCCGCGCCCCATTCTGCGTGCGTGCTTGCTGGGGCCGAGCCGGGACGCAGTTCGCTGCCTTCGGTGTGCCTTTGGGCAAGAGCCTTCCTCTCTCTGAACCTCAGTTTTCTACTTGGTGAGATGGAAACAGTAATATCGCTTTCCTCGCCTAACTCAGGGTTGGTGTGGATATCAAAGGGAATCGGGATGTGGCCGTGTGCACGGTACACTGTAAAGCGATTAACATACGTGAAGCATTAGTCTGCCGTCTGGCAGTCAAACCTCACGTTTACAATGGGTGAAGGAAAGCGCCCGGGCAAAGGCAGGTTATCGCCTTATAAGGCATAATTGGATTACAAGGGGGGGGGGGCATGGAATGGTTTCTTTCTCCCTCATTTTGGTTATTCCTATATTTCCAAATAGACACGTAGAGTCAGAAACTTCAGATAACACCCCCACCTCCAAATCCGAACTGTCAGTTCAGCCTTTCCAAGCCTCGCCCCTATTGTGAAATCTTACTAGCCCATCCTGAAACCCTGGGGTCTCCCGTGCTCTTGGGGTGCGTTTGAGGGGACAGGGGGGGTACTGGCGATATCCGATCCTCTCCGCTTTGTGGGGTACCTGCCCTGCGGCTCCACGGGAGTTCGGGGTCGCCGGCAGGTCAGGCGCCGGGCCGGCAGGGGGCGCGGTCCGCTGGGAGCTGTACAGCTCCCCAGGTCCAGGGCTTGGACGATCCGCGCGGTGACCCCAACCCCCACTAGCTCTTGCATTTCCCTGCAAGGAAGCCTTGCACTCTGGTCGGCCTAGGTCTGGGGTAAGGACCCTAAAAGGTTGCACTAGCTCTGCGTCGCCCCAGCCCAGCGTCTGAACCCGGTGCCCAGAGTTAGGGCTGTGACTGTTCTTGCATCTCTGAGCACTGTGAACACGAGGACCCCCTTCAACCCCACACCCTCAGGCAAGCAATGCGCGCGCCCGAGCGCAGAAGCGCGCGCGCCTGGGGAAAGAAAGGGAGGGCGGGAGGGCAGCCCAGGCCCCGCCCCTCGTGCTCCCTATAAAGTGCAGGAACCAGGGCTGGCCACTCAGTGGTTTCTTGGTGACACTAGATAGAGCTGCTCGAGTCTTGCCACCTCTGGATTCCCTCCGCAGCCGGGCTTGGACTTTGAGGTTTTGCCACTGCCAGAGGGACGTCTCAGACTTTCTTCTCCAAGTGCTTGGCCGATCACCCCCTCTGCAGGTAGGTGACGCAAGCCTGGCGGGATGGGGGGAGGGAGAAAGCTTGTGGAGGTCCGAAACTGGGAGCGTGGGTGAGGGGAACAACCCGACTTTATGGGGGACCTCTGCGGGGTACGTCCCTCATCCTGGGACCAGCCCCCACACACAGCTGGAGCTCCAGAGACTCAGTCCCCTCTGCCCAGTTCGCCAAGTTCCGAGAAGTTGAGCAGGGAACCTCAGGGAGCCAGGCGCTGTGCAGCGGCCTCTGCTGCAGGGTCTGTTACCCGCCCGGCGGGTGCAAGCGCCTCTGGCGTCTGCTCACCCTCGGCTCTTCTCTCCGGGTTTCCAGGGTCTGCGCATCGCCGCCGGGATGAAGCTGGTTTCTGTGGCCCTGATGTACCTGGGCTCCCTCGCCTTTCTCTGCGCAGACACCGCGCGGCTCGACGTGGCGTCGGAGTTCCGAAAGAAGTGAGTTGGGGCAGCGCTTTCCCCAGCGCCTGTACCTGGCTGACCAGGGAAACGGACTGTTAGTCCCAAGGGGGTCAGAAATGGATGGAGGTAAGGAAGGGCCAGGATGTCGCCTGCACGCGTGCAAATCGGGTCTGCTTGTGCTTTCCAGATGGAATAAGTGGGCTGTAAGTCGTGGGAAGAGGGAACTGCGGGTGTCCAGCAGCTACCCCACCGGGCTCGCGGACGTGAAGGCCGGGCCTGCCCAGACTCTCATTCGGCCCCAGGACATGAAGGGCGCCTCTCGCAGCCCCCAGGCCAGGTAACTATGCCGGGTGCTCGGGGACCGGGGGAGTTGAGCGGGAGGAGCTCGAGCTCACCACTCCCACGGCCCTGGAGATCGTCGGGGCTGGACCGCAGCTCTGATGCCAGCTCCCTCTAGTCTTAGAATGGCTTCCGCTCCTGGTGGCTGGGGCCTCAGCCCTGCTCTACTGAGGTCTCACGGGGCCTTTTTCTTCTCCGCAGCACTCTGGACGCCGCCCGCATTCGAGTCAAGCGCTACCGCCAGAGCATGAACAACTACCAGAGTCTCCGGAGCTTCGGCTGCCGCTTTGGGACATGCACGGTGCAGAAGCTGGCGCACCAGATCTACCAGTTCACAGACAAGGACAAGGACGGCGTCGCCCCCAGGAACAAAATCAGCCCCCAGGGCTACGGGCGCCGAAGGCGGCGCTCCCTGCCCGAGACCCACCCAGGCCGGACTCTGGTGTCTTCTGAGCCACAGGCACCAGGGACTCGGGGCTCCCGGGTGCACACAGCGCTCTCCACCCTCCTTGGGATTTAGGCGCTGGTGCCAAGAGAGAACAGTCGCGCAAGCATTCCGCTGTGGCCTTCAGGGGCGGAGGGCTTTCTGACCGGGGACCAGGCTGAGAGAGCCTGCAAAGAACGGAGCCTGGGAGGCACGGTCCACTGGCGAGCCCTGGCTTTGCAGGGGCTCCTCCTCCGGACCGCGCTTTCTGCATTTTCATCAAGCCCAGGTGCCCCAATGGGGACAGAAGAATCCAAAGGAGTATCTGCCAGGCTCACAGAGAGAGAAACTGAGAATTAAATGCTGAGACCCCCGGGGCAGGGGTCTGAGCCACTGACGTGCCCGCCCACAAACTGATTTCTCATGGGGTATCACCCCACCGGGGCGCAAGCCTCGCTCTTACTTGAACTTTCCAAAACCTAGAGAGGAAAAGTGCAATGCGTGTTGTACATACAGAGGTAACTATCAATATTTAAGTTTGTTGTCAAGGTTGTTTTTTTCTTTTTTAAAAAATGTAACTTCAAACATAGAGATATTTTTGTACGTTATATATTGTATTAAGGGCATTTAAAAGCGATTGTATTGTCCCCCTATTTTAAGACGTGAATGTCTCCATGAGGTGTTACATTTGTTGTGAGTGCGCGCGCGAAAGAGCTGATTACCTCCCGTGAAGGAAACACCGTGTCTCTGTATTATCGATTACTTAAAATGGGTGATATGCGAACTGCGAATCAATAAACTGTCTCAACGCTGATTCATCCTCGGCTCTTGAGTCTAGGAAGGGAGGGTGCCCCTGGTCCTGGTCCTGGCGCTGGTCCACCCAGGAGCCTGAGATCAGCAGCTCGACTTGGGAAGGTGGGGCCGCCGCGGTGCACGGCGTTCTGGTCGCTCCCTGCGGACGCTGAGCTGTCGCGAGCGCTGCTCTTCATGTGAGGCGCGTGTCCTGGGTGCGAGTCAGGCTTCGCTGAGACGCCGGAGGTCACCGCCTCGCGTGGCGGCGGGGCAGGGCGGGGTAGGGTGAGCCCTGGTGGGAAGGCGAGCCAAAACGCTGCGTCGGGGTTACGCAACCAAGTCCCAGATTTACGGAGCTGCTCAGGACACCCCGCGCAAAAACACGCCTCGGAGAAACCACCTCGGAGTGGTATCCAAGACTTCGTACGTAAGGACTTACCCCCGGTTGCGGTGAGTATTATAGTTAGAAGCGACTCCAGCAAATGTTGGGACGCGGGGTAACAGGCAGCCAATAACCCCAATCGGTTCCCGGCCGGGGTGCTGGGACAGCGGGCGAGTCATTAGCGAGGCTGTGGCGCCCCCTGCCGGCTGCCGCGGATGGGGGGTCAGGCAGTACGTGCGGTTTAATAAGTTCTCCTACGTGGGAGTCAGCACACAGCCTTAATGAAAGAGGAAAGAAAAAAAAGTTTGCACATGCCAACCAGGACCGCCCCCCCAGACCTGCGCGGCGGCTCCCGGTGCTGGGACAGTGACTCAGCGCCCACACGCTGCGCAGCGTGCAGCTGCTGGCGGGAGGCGGGCGGGACGGACGTGCCGCCGGAACCGTGTGCCTCAGACGACTGAGACCTTCATTGTTCCTCCTCCCCTTGCTGCTCTCCTCTTCCTTCCTCCTACCCAGGCCTTTTTCATTTTTTCTCCACTTTTTTCCCTCCTTCCTTCCTCCTACTCGGTTTATACTTTATCATCTTGGAAGGTTGACCCCAGTTCCAGGGACATATGCTGGACGCTTAGCCTCCTTTGAGTGACTGATCAGAAGCGAGGGGGCATGGGAGCAGTTAGTAGGGGACGGTAATGAGGCACCCCACAGTTTTATTTTCCTACCCCATTTTTCTCACCCACTATCCGGATGGCCCGAGATGGAGCCCAACTGCTTGTCCTTTCTAGAAAGTTTCTCTGGCCTTTCTACTTCAAAGCATGGCTGAAATGTCAGTGATTCCAGGTGATCTTAAAATCTCCCTGGCGGGACCAGCAGTTAGCGTAATGGCTATGTCGCTGGACTCCCACGTAGTCAACCGCGGTTTGCTTCCCGGACCCGGTGGCTTAAAATTCACGCCAGGTGCGTGTGTGTGCATGCCCAAGATCCCGAGAGGAGAATGGAGAAGAAGGGATTGCAGCGTGGCCATCCCCCCCTGGAGGGTGATTTCTCGCTTTCTGTCTCTCTGTCTCTGTCTGTCTTTCTGACGAGCGCACGTGCCCTATAGCAAAAACCTCTCCCCCAGCCAAAAAAAATCTTCCTGGTGAAGGAACCTGAAAGTGAACTTGGAGAATGGAAATGTTTCCAGGGTGATCCTCTATCCCCTAGGACTTTTGCCTCAGATGCACATTACAGCCCCCTCTCTGAGGGGCCTAGGGCAGTTAATTCCTTGCAGAAGCAGTCTGCATAGGCTGAAAGAGATAGGTCCTGCGTAATGGCTATGTCGCTGGACTCCCACGTAGTCGACCGCGGTTCATGTCCCAGACCCGGTGGTTTAAAACTCACGCTGGGCATGTGTGCGTGCATATCCAAGATCCTGAGAGGAGAATGGAGGAGAAGGGATTGCGGCGTGGCCATCCCCCTGGGAGGTGATTTCTCGCTTTCTGTCTCTCTGTCTCTCTCTGTCTGGCAAGCACATGTGCCCTAGAGCAAAAACCTCTCCAAAAAAAAAAAAAAAAAGAGAGAGAGAGAGAGAGAGAGATAGGTCCAGAGACAACCTGATTCTGAACAGTTTCAGTTTAGAAGAAAGTAGACCCTAGCGCATGCCATTTCCTTAGACCTTCATTCTGGGCTCCCAGCAGTTGATGATGTCAGTTCTCATACCATTCATTGTCCTCTTTGATGTGAACCATTCTGTGAGGGTCACCAAAATTGAGGTTACAAATGCAGTCATAGACCATCCTGTCCTTGAGAGCCTTTTGATACATATTCTCTAAGAGGAGGTCTGTCCAAGGCACAGAAGGAACAAGGCCTGTATGAATGAAAGAGTGACTGAAAACTCCAGTCATGGCATTTTTGTGCCAGTGAATGGGTTCTGGGTGGTCCAGACGGGCTGCAGAACTGCAGAGGGCAGCGAACACTTCAGCCACATAAACAGGGGCTCAAGATGGAACACTTACCCTTTTCCCTGAGCCAAGGTTTGTCCCAAGGTTTGAGCCACCAAGCCCTTCAGCCAAACCTCGCCCTGGCAAAGCTTCAGCCAGCCAACAAAGCTGCCAGAGGTAGGTTGGGCACTAGCTTAGTTAGGGCTGTTGTGAGCAGGGAACGGGCACCCAGCCTTCTGCTGAGGGAGTCTTATGACTTCAGGGAATCCAAGGCAAGTGAAGGGGCTGGTTCTACTCTGAGACGGGAGAGGCAGCTGCTCAGCTGGAGTCCTTCCCGCTCCAAATCCTGTGACTAGGGACATGTCTGAGGAGGCAGAGACCCTCCTAAGGTCAGTCTGGAAGGTGTTCAGCATGAACTGAAGGTCACAATCAACCCTGAACTCTTCTCTAGAAGCTGTTCCACAACTCCAGAAGGAGTTGTTTTCTGGAGTTATCTCTTAAGGTGCTGAAGCTTATCGGGATAGAGCCTTTGGATGCAAACACATCATTTATCAGCCGAGATGAGTCAGGTGTGAGCTGATTCAACCTGTCCACCACTAAGGAGTAGTCACAGCTTTTATCTTTAGCTACTGTTGCTGGCTGTGGGAATGGTCCCCATTTGTAATCAAACACAGGGGACAGGGTGATTTCTTGAAAAGCCAGCACCTTGGCTGAACAGTTGAAGGGTGGTGAGGAGTTGTAGGGTGGAATGAAAACCAGATTCTTTTTTTAGCCCTCGCGTGGTGTCACTATTCTCCCAGACACTTTATATACCTTATCTCATTTAATTCTCACAACAGCTTTGTAAAGTAGGTGTCGCTATCTCTGTAGATAAGGAAACTAAACCTCAGAGACATTAAGTAACTTAGCCAAGGTCACACAGTGAATAAGTGGTGGAGCCTGGATTTGCACCCAAGTATTACAGGCTATTCCGATGCTAGGAAGACAGAAGGAGTAACATGGGATAATTTTAACATTTAGGTTTTCAAGCCAAATGTCCCCGAATGTCCTCGAACACAGGGATATCTTGGGTAGGTGATTTACACCTGTGGGTTCTGAAAGAATTACAGGAGGCTGGTGGGACTGGAAGGAAAGTTGCTTCATCTCAGTGATGCAAAATAAATAAATGAAGTGAGTTTTAAATTCTTGGTCTTGGTTTGAAGCAGGGATTATAAATCAGGAATAGCCATAGCCATTTTTTTTTCCCCCTTCTCTGAGCTAAGCCACTGACCTCTTTGGTTTTTATTACCAAATATAGTTCGAACATACACTGAGGCCCTCAAGAGCTGGCTTCTGAGGGGAGGCCTTTGGAGCTATTCCTGGCCCAACACAGCCCCACTCTGTACGTCTGAAGTCGCCTGGAAGAACACCTGTGTCTACAAAGCTGCAAATAGAGTTTCCACCCTTGAGGTGGGACCTTTTGTCTTGGCAACTGCTACTCAAGGCCGTTTTTCAGAGCATGTTCTGAGCTGACTCTGAGAGAGCGATGATGAGAGCTGGCTCTCCTTTCTCCAGCAGAGGAGAGAGCCTTGTTATCCTGAGTCCCACAGAGATTGCTGCCAAAGCCAGTGGAGGCTTGGTCTTCATTTGCATGGGAAGAAGGGTGAGGCTAGATAGTTATCTGGTGGTCCCACTGGTCTTGTTCCAGAGCTATTTTGGAACATTCTGGAAAAACAATAAAATGATTGTGGCCACACAGGCAGCTGAATTTAGTAGGTTGTTGTACATGTATCCAACAGCAGGAAAGTAGTTTTGAGTATTAAAAATGAATTTCTAAAATACACATGAAAATGCACTTTACCTATGATAGAATATTTATTTGGTGTAGAAAAAAGATTCACCTTTAATACCACTCCTTGAGATAACCAGTGTCACCTATATATTAGTATATAAACTCTTTTAGACATTTTTTACACTATCTCTTTTTGCTTTTAATTGCCATGTGCACTCTTCAGAGAGACAGACAAAGAGGGAAAGGGAATGGTCACACTGCAATCCCTTTTCCATCATTTCGTCAGGAGTTTAGACACACATGCACCTGCATCCTGTGTGTTTTTCAAGCCATCAGAGCCATTATTAGAACCATGATTGGCCATATGGGGTCCAGCTCCTTTAACCACTGGGCTGCAGGACAAGCCCAACACTTTCCTACATTATAGATATATGCACACACGCACTTGAAAAATTTGAACTCAGGTGGCCAGCTGCTGTGGTGCAGGATATAGAGGTGCTGCTGCACAATGCTGGAAGCCGTATGAGAAGGTTCTGGGTTCATTCCCAGAGTCTATCTGAGCCTGCCAGGTGTGCTCTTCACTGCATCCATGATGCAGTGCGCTACACTGCAATGCTAGCTGGCTGCTGGGTTGTGGGGAGATCGCAGTGTGAAGACCCTATAAGAGTGCCTGTCTGTCTTTCTCTCTTACTCATGAAGGAAATAAGTAAACAAACGGAACTAAAAAAACTGATCTCAGTACAGAGAACTGAATTAAATGTACTCGTCAGTTTAAGGCAAGTTGTCATCACCAGTACGTGTTGTTGCAAAGTTTCTCTCTTGTATTACTGAGTTTTTTTCCTCCTTTCATTTCTATACCTCTTCCCATATCTTTCATAGGAATCTTCCCATATCTTTCATAGAACCAACATATTAAACCTTCTTTAATATGTCAATATCTATATTTAATTATATATATATATATGTACATATATATATATATACGTACATATATATATATATATATATACTTATAAAATCTGTTGAATTTATTTCACAAGTACAAACTTCATTTTGAGAGAGATTTTTGCTATAAGGTGCCTGTGCTCACTGGAAAGACAGAGACACAGAAAGCAAGACCCTCCCCCCCCGCAGGAAGGATGGCCACACCACAATCCCTTCTTCTCCATTCTCCTTTGGGGATGTTGGGCATGCATACTTCTAGCATGATTTTCAAGCCACTGGGTCTGGGACTCGTACCTCATAGTTGACTGTGTGAGATCCAGCTGCCTTGACCTCAATGCCACTTGTAGGTCCACTTTTCTTGTCCCTTAACAAGGGACAAGTGGGTTGCCTCTAGCACTTCTCTGCCACAAATAATGTGTAGATAAACATTTGTCTCATGCCTTCTTATGGATCTAAATGATAATTTCCTGGCCATATAGATCTAGAAATGGTGTCATTTAGTCAGAAGGCTTCTACATACAGATTGTGCTGAATTATGTGAGGTTGTTTTCCAGAATGCCTGTACTGGTGGGTCAATGGAAAAGACATGATGCATTTTTGCATAGAAAAACATGTCTTTTCTGATGACCCAATAGTTTGTGTTCCCATCAGCAGTAC